AATTTGTTTTATTTTATTTCTAATAAAATATATTATTTTTTTTTATTTAATTAAATATTATTTTTATTTATTTTGAAATTTAAATATTTTTATTTATTTTCTTAATAAAGATTGTTTGTATAAATATAAAATATTTAATAACTATTATAGGCTATTAAAATAAACTACTATAAAATATTTGATATTTTTATTCACAGTTTTTATTCAGTTAACTTTTTTTGTTTTTGTTTTGTTTTGTTTTTTTAATAAAAATGTTAGGTCTATGTTTAATAATATTTTCATAAATAAAAAAAATTTTAATTTTTATATTTTCACTGAAATAACCAAAAACATATATAAGATATAAAAAATATTTGATTATTTTAAATTTTTGTTATATAAAATAATGAAATAAACAAAAAAAAGACTAAAATTAAATGTTGAATTAATATTATAAAAGATAATATTTATTATTATTTTATTTTTTAATAATTTTATATTATTTTTTAAATTTAAATTTTTTTAATTGTCAAAATTATACATTCATAAAAATTATATTTATTTTTTTCCCATATAAAATTTTAATAAAATTTTATTTGTTTCATTCATTTATTTTTAAATACTTTTAGATTAATTTTTTAAAGATTATTATATTTTTTAGAATTTGTACTTAAATAATAATTTAAAAAAATAAAATATTAAAAATCAAAATCCAAAAAAAACTTAACTTTATAATAAATATTAATTATTAAATAATAATTTTAAAAAAGAAATCAAATACCCCACCAAATGATTAAACCGCTTCAATAGTAAAACTAAGCGCCAAAGCATTTAAATTAAAAATATTTATAAATACACTAAAATTCTAATAAACAATCTATATAAAAAAAGAAAAAAACATATTAAAATAAAACTAACAAAACAATAAAAATAATGGAATATAATTTTTCTATAAAACCAAAATTTAAAGGATCAATTACTGTAATATTTGGTCCTATGTTCAGTGGAAAGTCATCTAAATTATTAGAATATATTAAACGTTATTAATATAAATAATAAAGATGCTTAGTTTTTAACTATGTAAATGATAATAGATATTCACAAGAAGAATAAATAACGACTCATAATGGGTAAAAAATAAAAGCTTTAAAGAACTTTTTATTGATTTTTTTTTTTTTATAAATTAGTTAATCTTTTAAAGCATAAAAAATAAGTAATCTTTCAGATGTTTTAAATATTTCAAAAAACTATGATGTTATTGCTATTGACGAGGGTTAATTTTTTCTTGATGTAATTTTTTATTTTATTACATTAAATAATATTTATTTAAAAAAAGATTGCTGATATAGCTGATCAACTAGCAAATTAAGGAAAAATAGTTATAGTTGCAGCCTTAGATGCTTCTTTTTAAAGGAAAGCTTTTAATAATATATTGGATTTAGTTCCTATATGTGAAGAAATAATTAAATTAAAAGCAGTTTGCTTAATTTGTAAAGAAGATGCAAGTTATTCGAAAAGAAAAGGCTCATCTAAAAGAGTTGAAATGATTGGAGGTGAAGAATTATATTTCCCAGTTTGCAGAGTTTGCTTTAATGAGTATGATATTGAATAAGAAAAAAAAACTAAATCGAAGCTAAAATATAAAATAATCAAAAATAATAAGAAATATAATAAATAAATTTATAATAAAAATAATTTGAAGATAATATTAAATTATGAAATTTGAAACTAATTTTTTTTTATTATTATTAAAATGCTTATTTATATATATATATATTTGTTTTTTCATATATATTATATATTTTATTACTTATATTTTAATAATTTAAAAATATTTGTTTTTTAAAGTTTTTTAAATTAAAAATTTAGTTATTTTCAATTTCTTTAGTTAAACAAAATAGTTATAAATAATAAAATAATTTTAAAGCAAACAAAAATAAATGTAAGAGCTCAAATATTAAGTTTAAAAGAAATAAAATTACATGCCTTAATAAAATAATACTTAAAAAAATAAATAAAAATCAATAGGAACTTAATAAATCTAAATAGAAAATGAAATAAACCAATTAAAATTCTAAAAAGACATTTAGATTTTTTAAAAAAGTGATAATTAATAATAGTCGAAATCTTCATAAATTCTAACATAAAAAAGTAATACTTTTTTTAAATAAATAGTTTAACAACAAATACAATAAGAATCTTATTTATAATCTAAACCTAAAAATTTAAATAAATAATATATATAATAATTAAAAAAAGCATCTCTTGCTTAAATTTTAGACTTATAAAAACTACAAAATTAACCAAATAATTAAAAACTTTAAAAGAATTTACATAAAAAAAGTTTGAGTTAATTTTGGTTGAAAAACGATGAGAATTGTTTTTCTCCAAAACCAGAAAACATAGAAAATCATATAACATTTAAATAAAAGTAAATATAAAAAAATGATAAAATGATGTTAGAATAATACTTAATTAGAAAGAATAAATTTAACTAAACTATTAACTAAAAGTAATAAATTAAAGAAATTATATATTCTAAGGATTTCCTAAATAAAACAAAGATTTAATTTGAAGATTATGAAAATCAAATTAAAAAAATTTAATGACCTTAAACAATTATAACTAAATAAATAAGAAAAAAAATAATTCGATTCATGTTTTTCCATAAATAATTCCTACTATTCAAAATCTATCTATAGAAAAAAATAAAAGTCTCCTTATTTGGTAAAAAAAAAAAATCCCTTTAATAATCAAAATACATCAAAAACATCTAACAATATGCATAAAAGCTCATCATAAAAACTCGATTATTATCTAACAAAAGATTAGCTAAATATAATGAAATTAAAAAATTAACTTATGCATGAATTTGATATAGATAATAATATGAAAGTAAATATGGAAAAAGAAACAAATTTAAACATTAATGAAATAGTCAATAAATTAATAGAATTCATAAATTTTGTAAATTGTTCTTGTTAAAATTAAATTATTCAAGGTTTTAATATAAAATCATTAACTAATATTAACGAAGCTATTTAAATTTAAAATAATAATAAAATAATTAATATTAAAAATTAAGATTTTTTAAAATTCAATAAGCCTGAGCTGCTATAAAATATTACATATAAAATTTTTTATATTTTAGAAAAAAACAACAATGATATTTAAAATAAATAGAAAGAAAACTAAAGTTTTAAACAAGCTTTTATTTCTTTAAGCAAAAAATATTTATTAAATTAAAATATATTTGATGAAATATGTTTTTTATGTGATTTTAATAAACTAATTAATTTATTTTTTTAGAATTTATATAAAGAAATAGACATAGATCTTTAAAAAATAACAGAAAATATTCAAGAAATAAAATATCAAATAAAGCAATTTCTGATAAGCAATAATTTAACAATAAAAAATCAGTTATACTTAACACACATTGAATATTTTTTCGTAAAAAAAGTTCTAATATAAATATTTATTAATAACCCTCAAATTTTTCCAAAATAAAGTATAAATTATATGTATTAAATCCTTTAAAAAATAGAAAAAACACGATAATAATTTATACCATTATAATATTTATAGGACTAAAATATAAAAAATCAAATAATTACATTGCTTTCATTAAATGCGAAATTTTTATAATATATATAAGAACAATCAATATATGAAATAAAATTAATTTTAGAAAGAATAATTTTAATTTTGGTCGGAGAAAAAGAAATAGACTACTTATTTAAATATTAATAAAATATTTTTAATGAAAAAATCTGTAATTCCTTTTGTAAAAAGTTCGATTAAAATTTTTTCGATTATATTTGCAAAGCATTTGTTTTAGTTTTAGAAAATTACGAGCAAGTTTACAAGGTAGATATTTAATATAATTTTACAATTTGAAAAACAGTGCTTAAGTTTTAAATTATTCTGTTTATAATTTGTTTTAAGATTTCTAAATATAAGATTTTATTTGTTAAACTTTTGATTGGGTTGAAAATTATTATAATAATGAATTAAATGAAATTCACGATGATGCTTTTATTGTTGTACTTTTTAATAAAAATTTTATTGAATTTTTCTTACATATAAGCTTATTTAAATAATGCTACTCTGCTTTTGATATCTAATGTTGCTTAAAATATTTTAAAATTAATTAAAAAGTTATGAATATCTATATAATGGCAATTTAAAATATATATAAAAATAATTCTATTTCATAAAAATATCTTATTGAATATATAAAGTAATATTCAATGTTATTTTGAATTTCGTACTAAAAATAATATTTATATTATATATGTTAGAAATATAAAAATTTATTTATAAACAAATATAAAATAATTGCTTTAACAACAACAAAAAGTCTTATATATAATTAAATTAAATTTTTATAATTATTTTTTATATTTTATTATTAAATTAAAAAAAATTAAAAATAAAAAAAAATGAATATATATTAAAAATAATTAAAATAAATTAATTTAATATAAGGATTAGTATTAAAAAATATAAATAATTTATATAAATAAATAATTTTGTATATAATATAAATTATATGAAAAAATTATTAAATAATTAATATATATATATATATATATATATTAGTAAATAAATATATTATTAATCATTATAAACTTAAATAATAAATTAAATCGTAATAATAAACTAATCTTTTAGTATTTTTAAAAATTTAAACTATAAAAATTAACAATTATTATCTAATAATATATAAGTTTTTATTAAGGATTTTACTGCAGCAAATATAAAAAATATTATTTTTTTTATAATTTTGAAAAAAATATAATAGATTAACAATCTTTTTTTTTTTTTTTTCTAGCTGTATTAATTTTCATTATAATAATATCTTAACTTATAACATTTTTAAATTAATTATAAGATTATGAATAATATAATAAAAATGATAAACTATAAAAAATAAATTTTAAATCAAAGAAAATGATTATAACATAAATTAATTTTGGATTGATAAGTTAAGTTACTAATATTTAGGAATTTAAGACAATCCTGTTCTAAGTCTTATATAAAAAGTCAATTTAATAAACAGTAAAAATTATACTTTATTGAATTATATTTATTTACTAAAAAAGTAATATAAATTATACTAAACAAAGAAAATATTATAAAATTAAAAATTTATAAAATAATATATAATAAAAAATATTTAATTTTTTTTTTAAAAAAAATAATATGATGTCAATTAAAAGCAAAAAAAATAATTTGAAAATAATATAAAAAAATAATATTTAGAAGTTAATCATTAAAAAATAATTCAAAAATATAAGAAAAGGTTAAAAATAATCATAAAAATGATACGAAAAATATTTAAAATTAAACAATAAAAAATATAGAAAATATAACAAAAACTAACAAATAAATAATTTTAACTTAAACTTCATTAATATAAAATAATCCCATTTTAAATATAAAAATTATAAAAAACAATTTATCACAACAATGGATTCATTAAAAACTATACATGATTTACATAAAATATTAACATTTCACTTTTAATTTTAAAATTATAAATAACAAATTAATTTAAATTAATTTATAAAAATTGTTAATCAAAAAAAAAAAAAATTCTTATATAAATTATAAAATATAATTTATAATAAATATATTAATAAAAAAAAAAAATACAATAAAAAATAAATATATTTATTAAAAAAATAGTGAATATAAAATTTAAATATTATTTCATTTTTTTTTATCTTTTAATAATATTGTAATTAAAATGTCTATTTATTTATATATTTTTATAAAATTAATTTTTTTAAATGTATTTTATAATAATAAATAAATGTTAAAAAAAAATCTTTATTAATAAATAAAGGTTAAAATAATATTTAATAAACAATTTATAATATAATAATTAAAAAAATGATATAGATTAATTTTTATTGTATTTTATATATATATATATAATATATATATATATATATATATATATTTTTAATATAGTTTTTTAATATAATATAAAGTAATAAACAAAAAATAATAATAAAAATCATCCATATTATAATATAAATATATATATATATATATAATTTAAAAGAAATTTATTTAATATTATAATATTTTCATAATTCATTTATAAAAAAAAAAAATATAAAAAATTTAAAAAAAAAAATGAATTTTGAATAATTTTAATTATAATTGAAAGCAGAGAATAATTTAAATAGTGATATCCCGCATGACATAATATAAGCATAAAATAATGAAGAAAGTGAACAAATTTCTTAATTTCAAATCCCAAAAATCGAAAAATAATCAACAAAAAGGTAAGCTTATATGAATCTGTTTAAAGGTTATATAGGAAGTGGTATACTAGCACTTCCATATTCATTTAACTAAGCTGGATGGATATTAAGTACAATAGTATTTTCAATAATAGCAATAATAATATACTAAACATAACATTTATTATTTTAAGTTGCAGATTCATATTAAAAAGGTAATATATCATACACTTTTATGGTAAAGCATTAATTCGGAAGAAAAGGACTTTATGTTTCTCGTTTTTTCTTGATTATATTTTCGATTGGAGTATGTATTAGTTATGTGATATTTTTCTTAAAGTTTTTTTAGAATGTATTTGAATCAACAGGATAAGGAAACTAGCATTCATTAATATACTTACTACTAGCTTTAATAATAATAATTCCAATGTGCTTCATTAATAATTTATCTACATTCGCGAAAGTATCAATAATAGCAAATTTTATGATTATATTAGTTTTGATGTCTATATTTGGAGTAATATATATTTATTTATTAATATATTATAAATATTTATATATTTTTTATAAATAAACAAAAAAAAAGTACAATATAAAACACATAAAAGAAATAGAAAATTAATAATATAAAAATTAATTAAATAATTAATTTAAATTTTCTGGAGTCGCTTTAATTATTGGAGTCTCGATTTATTCATTTGAGGCTGTAGGGCTTATATTTTCAATTAGAAACTCATTACCTGATGTAAATTCTTTTACAAAAATATACAGAAACATAAACTTTATAGTATGTCTTTTATACATTTCATTTGCTATTATAGCTACAATTTCGCATGGAAATAATTTAAAGGAAATTATTTTATTTAATCTTCCTAAAGATCAGGTTGATGTTCATTTCTTTTAAATTTTATATGCTTTGGCACTTATTATGAGCTATCCTTTATAATTATTACCAGCTTTTGAAATTCTAGAAAGAGTTGGATTTATAAGAGTTTATATTAATAAAGAGTAAGATAAAGCTGGATAATGGAAATAAAGGAGGGTTTTCTTTAGAATTACTACATCGATTATTATTTGTTTAATTGCTTATTCTATTCCAAGATTTGCTATTTTTTTAAATATGCTAGGATCTGTTGCTGGAGCTACTCTATAATTTATAATTCCTGTTATTATGTTTTTAAATTAATTCAAAAGTGATATTACTAATAAGAAAAAGATCGAAGTATATTCTTATCTTTTTATAGGAGTTATTGGAGGACTTTTTGCTTTTATTTTCTCTGTTATCGAGCTATTAAATCCTGAATGAACTACCTATTTATATAATATTATTTTAAATAATATATTTTTAAAAATTTTTAGTTTTGTTGATAATAATAAATATATTTTTTTAAGTATTAATTATATTTATATATAAATTCACAATTTAATTGTTTTTTTATTCAATCCTAAAAAAAACTCTGTATATAAATTCAATTTATTTTATAAAAAATAAAAAATTCATTATTTTTATTTCCAAAAAAATAATAAAATTTATGTTTAAAAAAAAAAAAAAAAAAAAAGTAAATTTTCAATAAAACAACTAATGTTAAAATTGTCTTCACAATTTTCCTTAAAATAAATAGATTTATATAAATTTTATTATGTTCGTAATATAAAGAAATGTCCTAATGAGATTATTTTATTTATAATAATAAACATAAACTTGAAATTTAAACTAAATAAATATAAATGATAATAAAATTAATTCCTTATTATATAAACTACTTTCACCAGAATGTGCATATATATATTAAATTTATGTAAATTTAGCTTGTTTCAAATAATTTTCAAAGAAATAGAATAATATGTTTGCTGGAGTAAAGAACCAAAGAATGCAATATTTTTTAGAAATAAATTCAAAAGCATGAGAACAGTTGTTATTTAGAAATTATTAAAGTATAAAAATATTAATAATATCAAAAAAAAAATATATATATAAGAATAAATAAAAAGAAATAAGAAGAAAATATTATTATAAAAAATAATATATCCGAAAAAAACCAAAAAATTATCATTTTAATTTGTTAAACAAAAATAAGTAATAACTAATCATAATAAATAATTAGAATTCTAAATATTATAAAAAGGAAAGAATAATAATTTATAAAAAAATAATAAAATTAAAAAAAATTAAATTAATAATATATTATTAATTTAAATAAACAAAATGAATAAATTGTCATAATAATAATATTATCATAAAATATCTATTTAAGATCTTATAAAATTAACGAGTATTAAGTAATGTGACAATAAATTACATAAATAAAACACGTTTGTAAAAAAGTTTGAATTATTATATCATTTAGAATAAGGAAATCTGGTAAAACTAATATTAGTCTTCAAAATGATTATAATATAAATAAAAATAACATTCCAAATAATTGTAATTATAAAAGATTTAGAATTTAATAAAAAAAAGCTTATCAAAGAATGAAATATTAAATAGAATTATAAAAGAAATATATAATTTAAAATATAATTAAATTAAATTTATTTTTACAAAATAATAATATTTTATTAATATAGAAATATTTATAATTTTATAATATTTATGTATTATTTTTTTATTATTTAATCTTTAAAAATTATTATTAGTAACTTAATATCATAAAATTTATATTATTTTTGTTGTAAAATAATACTTTATATTATAACAAAAACAATATGGAATAAAATATAAATGTAAAGCTTTAGTTCTAAATTAAATAAATATTAGAAAACTAAGAAGTTTATTTATTTATTTGATTAAATTATTAGAAAATTTTATAATATATTTTTTTAATTTTATTTTAATAAATAGTAAATTAATTACAACAAGTTAATTTATATAGGAAAAAATTTTGGGTTTTTAACTAAAGAGAATCGCTAAAAAATATGGCCAATACTTTTAGAATTAAATATAAAATAAAAAGAAGATAATGAGTTAAATGAATAAGATACTCTCAGTATTTTTAGTTTATTTTTTAAATTTTATTAATTTTAATAAAAAGTTAATACTAAAAATAAGAGTAGATATTATGAATAATTAAAAAAAGATACAGATAGATCTATTTATTTTTTAGAATATTATAAAGATTTACCTGAACAATAATTGTATTATATATTATAGTTTTTTTTTTTTAAAAAAAAAAATATCTATCTATAATGTTTATATATTTTTAAAAAAGAAAACAAAAGTAAAATTAATTATTTGAAATTCTAGAAGAGATGCTTTTAAAATAACCTGAGTTACATTATTATCAAGGATACCACGATGTAGCTACTTTATTTTTGATTATTTTTGGAAGTCAAATAGGATTTAAGTTAATTTAAAAAGCTGCTAATACATTTTTTAGAGATTCTTTGATGTTTCCATTAGAAAAAAGTGCTATAATTTAATTATAAATAATTTAAGATATTATAAATTAAGAAGATTAAAAACTAGGAAAACTTTTATAGTAAATTAATGGCCCTATTTTTGCTATAAGCTGGATTTTGACTTGGTTCGCACATGTATTCAAAAATATTGAAAAAACATAAAGGATATATGATTATTTATTATCTTCTGAACCTTATTCAGTTTGTTATCTATCCGCAGCTTTAGTTTTAAATTAAAAAAATGATTTAGAAAAAAAATTAAGAGAATAAGGAGATGATGTTTTTTTTTTTATTTTTTTTTAATATTTTTATTTTTTATTTTTTAATATTTTTTAGAAGACAGCTATATTTTTATATTTTTAAAATTAAAATTTAAATAGTTTAGAAATTGATTTTAATGTTCTTATTTAATCATCTATGAAATTGGAGATAAAATATCCTTTTTAAAAAATTTATAAAAATTATAATTTACCAAAAAAGTAACTTACTTTCTTTTGTTTTTGGATTTATTTAATTTACTATTTTAATTTAGCTCATGTATGTCCCCTTTAATATTTAAAAGTTTGCTTAATTATAGAAAATACTTATTTAAGAAAAGTTTATTAAAAAGAATATTTGGCTATATTACTTTTAAAAATTATATTTATGTTCTAGTTTTCATATTACTTTTAATTTTTGTTGCTAAAAACACTGCATAAAAATTTATTAAAAGATGAATTTAGTTAAGAGATGTGGTATAAATAATAAAAATGTAATTGAAATAATATATAATTTTTCAATCAATATAAAATTCATATATATATTAAAAATTGAAGTTTTTGTAAAAATAATATAAAATAAAAATAAAATAAAATTCTATTTTTATCTCAAATAATTTTTTTTTTTTTGATATATATTATTAAAGGAAATCAAATTTAAAAAATACAATTAATCAAAATTAAAATTAAAAAATACAATTAATAAAATATAAAATATACAATTAATCAATATATATTTATGAAATTTATAAACTTAGAAAAAAAAATTAATATTTATTGTCGTATATTTTTTTTTATTAAATAAAATAATATTTATTTTTATCAATTTTTAAATAAATATAAAAACTGTGTAAATAATAAATATTTTTTTTAAATATAATTTAACATTAATAATTAAAAAACTAAACCAGAGATAAAATACAGGTAATAGCATAAAACTTGCATATTTAATTTATATTAAAAAAACAATTAATATTACATATTTAGAATAAACAATTATGAATAAAGCAACAAATGTAGATGATAATAATGATGAATTAGACACTTTAGATGATTAAAATTAACCATACGATAATTTATTTAATGAGAATTAATAAGAATCAGATAAATAAGAATAAGAAAATGACGATATAATTGTTTCAAATAAATAAAATTTAACATACGAATAATTATAAGATATATAATAAAAATAGTATACATAAAAAAATATTTATTAATTATTATTTTTTTTTTAAAAAAAAAAGAGTTTCATACATAAAAAAATTAAAATCTTAAAACGAATATTATAGAAATTAGTTAAAAAGTATTGGTGTAGAAGTTGAAAAAATAATAGAAAAAAACATTTAAAAAAATCAATTGCAGAAAAATAATTAAAATTAAGGAGCATATTAAACAGAAAAAATAAGTAAAACTAAATACATATAATTATATATTTTTTTTTAAAAAAAATAATATTTAAATTCAAAAATAAAATATAACTTATTTTTACAAATAAATAAAAAAATAGTATAAGCAAGATAAAAGCTAAATCAAAAAAATAAATAGACTAATGATTTAAAAAAGATATTATTAAAATTAAGTAATTCATAGGAATACATAGAAAATAAACATAAGTAAAATATTTTAATTTTATTTAAATAATAATATAAAAAAAAATAGAATTGCTAGCTTATAAAACCAAATAAAAGAAAAAGATGATTAATCAAAAATAATTAAAAAATATTTTGAATATTAATAAAAAATTGAAAAAGATTATTAAGAATAAATTAAAGCTTATTAAGAATAATATAATTATGAGCAAAAAGTAAAATCTAAATGTATATTAAAATTAAATATATATATATAAAAAAAAACAGATATAGGAATTATAAGTAGAGATAAAATAATTAAAAAAAGATATAAAATCTTTCTAAAAAAAAGCATAAGAAAGAGAAAAAGTATATAAAAATTAAGCTATTTCTTTTACTCACTTGGAAACTTATTTTAGAGGAGAGTCTTAAAAATTAGGTTATATAGGAAATCCTTTATAAGAATAACCATCTTAATTAAAGCATTTTGTCTAAAAAGCTGAAACATTAACAGAAGCAGATAAAAAGCTAAAAAAGGAAGTAAATTCTATTTATGTATTATCTAAAAAAAAAAAAAAAACTAAACAAAAAGTTTAATGAATAAAATTTTCAAAATTTAATAGAAGAAATAAGACAATTATAAAAACAAAAACTTTAATAAGAAAAATTAAACAAAATTGAAAACGACAAATTTTAAAATATTCAAAAATAAATAAATTTTGAAAAAAAAGAACTCGAGTAAAGACTTAGAGAAAAAGGTTAAGAAGCTCATATAGCAATAAATAAGCTGAATGAAATGTTAAGATAAATAACAACAAAATCAGCTGCTATGATATTAAAAGTGCCAAATAATGCATCTTAAGTATTAACAGCATTAGATATAGATAAGAAAAAAAACATAAGAAGATTATTAATCGAAAATCATATATCGAAAAGAGGAATAGAAAGATTATTAACAGGTATTTATATATATTTAATCTTAATATTATTTTAAAATAGGACATATTTATGATTCAGATACTTTTATATTATTTGATGATTCAGAAAATATGCATGAATTTTAAAATTATAGAATTTCAAAG